CCTCAGAACTCGATCAAATTCAAATTTCCTTTTCGATTGAGGGTTTTTCAGTTTATACATCAAGTACGCGAAAACCGCCCGGATCAAGGCTGGGAGGTTCCCAAATTCCAGGCGTAGCTGTGTCACGATCCCTCAACCCTGGGTTGCATACCTGCAGTTAATAAACACTGCTTGACCGGTTTATGTGTGCCACTTTTTTAGGAAGTCATCTGAGTGGTTGTTTTTTTGCCGTCAGGTCAATTCACATATCTACGATTATTTGCATATTTCATCACAGAATGTATCAGTTTATCATTTTACAGGAATAACAACGGTACTGACGATGACAACAATCAGTACAGGAGTACGACAATCATTACCTCGTATTAGTTATGTTAAAAGTATTGATATCTACCTTGTGAGTTCGTTTTTCTGGCTAATATTTATTGAAATTAACCGATACCTTCAGTTATTGATTAAGTCAGCATGCCCGTAAAGAAATCATTGCGAAAGGCAATACCTCCAGTTAAACCTCTTTGATTTTCGTAAGTCAGCGTTTCGGAGGCAACGCAAACCCCGGAAAAAACGAATAGATGTCAACGATAATACGTATAATGTTAATTTAACGCTTTTTTAACTTTTTTCAATGTGAAATTTAAAAATGCCAAATCTAAACAAAAGTACAGATCGATACCTCTCAGCAGTTCTGAAATGACAGCTCTCCGAGGGACTGGTGACGATCAGCCAGCACAAATACCATCTCGAAATGACTTTCTAAATGTTTTTCTCAGAGGGATTTTGAGATGATAGTGATTTTAGATGAGAAAGCAAATGCAGGGTCGCCAGCAGAAAGCCATCAGGTAATGCAGCACTGGTCAAAACAAATGGAAAAGTTGACAACTGCATAGCTGGTGAACGTTATGGACTGTGCTAATCAAAGTATAAAAACATGGTGCAGGAATGACAATACAGCACCACTTTGGGCAAAAAGCCGCTTTTTGACGAGAAAAAAACGTTATTTTGAGCAGCTTATGCTAAGTGTGCTCGGACCGCAACTATTAGTTGACCTGTGCTTCCTTAAAGTAAGTACTGCAGGACTGATGATAACTAGACCAACTTTCAGGTGATGTGCTTTATGTTCGTTTTCGCAGCTTTATTGGAGTATGCAGCAGTAAACTATTCCTATTATGGCGGTCGAAGTCGACACCGTGAAATTGCCATTAGCGAATGGCCTAGCAACAACAAGCAGCGGCGCAGTACGAAGGACAAAGAAGACACAGAAGGAAGTATCAATCTGCGTGATTTGGTCCCTCGTTCACTTATTGAGGTATTATAAAATATTTTCTGTGGCAGTTAACTGAAAAATAAGGGAAAGGGAAATCAGAACGTGTTTCACAGAACCGTTGATGGCTACTAACTGAAAGTTTGCGGCGCAAGGTTGAAGACCCTATTACAGCTGCAGCAGGTATGCAGGGGCATAATCACTAAATGTAATAATGAAACCGATTGTCCAAATGATCTTAACAATTTTGGTATAACAAATGCAGTTGCTAATAACTGATAATGCAGGAAATCCAGAAAGAACCAGAGAGATGTGCTTCAAACAAGTTACCTCGTCAGGAGCGTGGTGAACGTAAACGTTCGGCATCACCACTGCCATCACTGATGCAGAAGACCAATAAAGTTGAGGAACTAGGTGTCCCGGATTATCCAAGGCTCATCACCACTGCTAAATTTCGTTACGGTAAACGGTAAGCCGTTGAGTTTTGATACACAGAACACGCACAGCACCGAACTCATCTGCAGTGTTTGCACATTTCGTTTCACTGGTTAGGCCATTTTCACTTATATTCAGTAATAATAAGAATGTTTTATTGCTGCTGCTAATAATGGTACCCGAGAAAAAGTAAGTGATTACCACACAGTCGATATGCAGCTCAGGCAGGAAGACTTAACATAAGTGCACCTGGCGTGTGAGAGCATCCCAATAGCATCACTCGTCTTTTGTTTAAAAAATAACGAAACTTTATTAAACAAGTAAAATTAAACGTATGAGAAGGGGCTTTTACAGCTCGCTCCGACTGCTTCTGCTGAAAATGTTGATAAAACTTCAGGCGACACAAAACTTTGGGTAGGATACTACGACGTCAAAACATGAAATTCTATGTACAGCGATTACGTTCCGGAACACGTTCTGTGATGGCATCACTACATGTTCATGATGTTAACATCATTGATAAGAAATCGCGTATCATTTTCCCGCTCAGTTTCATTATCTTCAAGTAAGTCTCTAATCTCATATGTTTCATAAGAAAAAACTGTGGAATAAAAGAGACATTTCCTATGTAGCAGGGACATTTTCTTGTCCAAGTTGAGGCCACATATATGTTTTATTCGAAAATTGCTTTAATTTCTCAACTTCTTCCAAGTCAGCATCTTCTGAATGCAGTTATGCTGCACCTAAAGCTTCTGATAGAAATTCAAAACGCAAATAGGCGTAAAGACAGAAAGAGAGGAATAAATCTCCAGTTATAACACCTAATAGGCCTTTGCAAACCGAAAAGCTGCTGATCCCAGTTGTTTTCCAGAAGCCCTATTTTGATTTAGTGATATTAAAAATTCCAAGACTTTTTCGATTTTGATGGAGGCTAGCATGGCCAGATAAGATCTATGTTAATTACTTTGATACTTAAAACTCCTAATAATTCACCACTGATTTATAATTAGCACGTCCTCCAGTGGTGGTAATAGCCGACAACCAATTCCATCAGTTTTGATTTTGGGCTCTCCGCAGTCACAGAACACCACTGCATTTGAGTTAATGGATCAGTTCAGCACGTCGGTGGCCTTCAGTTCCACGTTGATCCAAATCAATCCAATTTTAAATCCATCTCGTGCGTGATTCATATGTGGAAGGTCTCCAGTGGCTTAGTCGACAGCTATGCCATCGACTTCCGTTTCGGGCTTTTACTTTATTCACACTATGGGCAGATATCCCTTACATGTATGCTCAGTAACGAAAACACATGTTAATAGCGATTCAGTACACAATAGCACATCTATTTAGGGAGAAAATTGCTAGATCGGCAAAATTTCCCTCATTTTGTTTTAAAATGTTTTAATTTACTTGGAAAAAACTGCTTACTTATTCGACATGAGTTCTTTCCCATAATAATTCTAGTTAAGGGTTTTTATTTTGATGACGGACAAATGGTCCATCAACTAATTGCTTGAAGATAATGAGGTCTAAGGGTTTTTGAGGTGTATTTCTTTTTTTAAGGTTTTTAAAGCTCACTTTTTTCAGTACATGTTATTGGGGTTATTATACGATGATGCAGTAACGGATGCGTGGATGCATTTATGGGATGCAAATGCCTGTTCAAATCAATTGCAGTTCACATCGTGGTTCTCTATTTGCAATTTCCGGAAGAGCCGTTGGGTTGGTGACCCTTCAAGAGACGAAATAAATATCAGGATCGACAACAAGCCGGCACCAAGCAGTGTAATATATTGGTCAAAGCAGCTGGAAAAGTTGTCAAATGCAAAAAATGAATGAAAATTTTGCTTATAAACGAAAAAATATCATTGCTGTGTATCATTTGGATATCGACAACGAAACACACCACTAGAACTACGCAGCGATTTTAAACTGCTCGGATAAGATGAAAATTATGCAGGCAAAAGCTATAAATTTTGGCAGTGCTGTACAAACAATTGGTGATGCGCACCAGAAGGACCTGTGCGATGATGTTTTGCAA